AACCGCAAACGCAACCAGGCGTCGCAATTTCAACCCGGCAGCGCAACCGCAACCGCGACCGCAACAGCAACCAGGCGACGCATATCACCCCGCCCGCGCAAACGCGACCGCGAGCCCAACCAGGCGACGAATTTCAACCTGGCCGCGCGCGCAACCGCAAGCTCAACCAGGCGGCGCATGCCAACTCAGGCGACGGATTTCAATCCGGCCGCGCGCGCGAGCGCAACCGGGCGACGCGTTTCAGCCCGGCCGCGGGCGCGCGCAGCCGCAGCCGCCCGTTGCCGGCGCGTGCTCGGCGCCCCCGCCGCGCGTCCGGGGCGCCCGCCCCGCGGCATTTCGGGCTGCGCGAGAGGGGCGGTGAGGGCGCAGAGGGCGCTGGGCAGGAGTAGGAGGGGGATGGGGATCAGGAGGGGGAGGGGGGGGGAGGGGAGGAGGAGGAAGGGGGGGGGAATAGGAGGAGGAGGAGCCAAAATGGCTCAAGCCATTCCGGCTCAAGGGGCTTAAGGCCTTGCCTTTGTTTTGCTGTGCCGACCTCCGGTTTCGGGGGTCGCGAAATTTGCGGCGTCTAGGCCAGTCGCCTTCATCCTGTGCAGCCATGTCTTCTGCGTGCCCCTCCTGCAAGTGCAAGGGGAACAAACTGCGCTGCGCCTGGTGCATGCGCTGGCAGCCGCTTCCGAAAGTTCTGCCATCTGACGTTCGCGCTGCCAGTGCTGCCGCCGCTGGCCGGGGGCGACGCGGCAGGGGGGGCCGCGGTCTGCAGGCGCGCCCGCTTCTAATTGGCGCTACAGCGCTCGACAAGCAGCGGGCGCAGGCCTTCGCAGCGATATCCGAGGATCACTCCTGACTCCTGCGCAGCCTGCGCTTTGCGCCGCGGGCTCAAGTGGCGTGTGAGCGCGCGCGGCAGTCGAGTGATCCACGCGCCATGGTTCGAGCTGCCCAGCAGGGACATGGCCGGCCCCGGGCTGAGCTGGAGATCCCGAGATTTAGTTCATCAGTACCTCCAATGTCACCGATTATCCCGGCCTCGAGAGGGCCCCCAGCGGGCGCTCTGGTTTGGTGCGCTTGTCGTTCGACCCGCGAAGTTTTGAGCGCCGATTATCAAGAAGCCCCCCTTCGCCGCGGTGGGTGGTCGGTCAAGTTTTTGAATGCGATGCGCGCCGAAAGCGGATGCACCTCAGGGGGATTGCCTACGTTGCTTCCAAAGCGTATTGACATGGCCTTCCTGGGCTCCGAGCCCTGCGAGTGTTTCCCCGGACTCTGTTCGGTTCCCCGCGTTTTTCCCTCGGGCAACATCTATCGTAAGAATGGTGGCAATCTCGCCGACTTCACTTGGAGCATTTCAGCGCGCGTGGTTGCTATTCTCAAGCGAGCGCGCATTCCCTTCATCATAGGCGGTGATTGGAACGTCGAGCCAAGCGAGTAGGCCTCCTCCGGATGGGGCACTGCGCTCCAGCGCTGGCGCCTGCGCACATGCTGGACGCGCGATCGATTTCTTCGTGGTCTCCTGTAACCTCTTGGGTAAGCACTCCGTCAGGGTTCTCGAGGAGATCCCCGCTACCCCCCGCTCGCCCGCGCCCCCGCGCACAGCTGCTGCGTCCAGCGACGCGCAGGTGCGCGCGATCAAGGTGCCCGGGCGCTTTCCGGTTGCGGTCCGTATTGGCTGCGAGAATGAGCCAGGTCGCAGCGTCTGGGGCCAGGCGTCGCATGTGATCGCAGACACAGATTCGATTGATGCCGAGTACGATGCGTTTATCTCCATCGCTGAAAGCGAATGGGTCGGGGTATTTCAGATGCACTCTGGCGAGGCTAATGAGTACTGTGGGCGAATTCTGCCCTTCTGTCCCGCTTCCAGTCTGCTCGGCTGGGCCTCCTAGGGTCCCGAGGCTATCGGTGTTGGCTGTCTGGTGGAAGCAGGTCATTCGGCGCTTCTGGATCTCAGCAGGGCTCAGTGTCAGGTCTCCGCGCGGGTTTCCAATGTCAATGGGCTCCGCAAGCTCTCCAGGGCCAATGTATTGCTTCATGGGGGCTTCTGCGCCGGTTGGTCTAGCGTCTCGGGTGTCATTGAGCAGCCCCCCGCTGGCCTCGTGGAAGTCCTCGACGGGGTGGGCTGGGGGGTGGGCCCTGCGCCAGCGCCAGCAGTCTGCCAGGTGCAAGGAGCGACGGTGTCTTCCGCGCTGCCTGTCGAGTGGCAGCCGGCCGCTCTGGGTCGCTGCGAGCTGCGGCCCGCCAATTCCCAGGGGCTGGTCGACAGTCTGCAGGCTGCGAGGCCTCTGGACAGACATGGGCGACGCACATTGTGGAAGACAGCCGCTGGACTGACCCAATTTCCTCGGAGATCGCCCCCCTGCCCCCTCGGTTTCTGAATTCAAAGCAGTCCTTCGTGCGTTCCCCATCAAGACAGGCACTGGTTTTGATCAGGTTAGTCCGGGGGATTTCCTCTTCCTGCCAGATCGCGCGACCCAGCTGCTATGTGACGTCGCCTCGCGCGTCGAGTAGGGGCTCGAGTGGCCGCAGATGTGCAGCCGCGTCGTATTCATCATAAAGAGAGCAGGGGGTGTCCGACCCACTGGCCTGCTCCAAGTTCTTTGTCGAGTGCGTCGCCTGGGCCGATGGTGGCGGCCTGGCAGCGCGACGACTCTCGGCGTCTGGGCCACCGGGGGACGTTTGTCCGAGAAATGCGTTTGGATATCCAGTGCCTGGTCTGAGTTTTGTATTATCCAGGTACAGTTTTGGAGCGATGCTGCGGTCGGGAGAGAGTCGCGTCCAAAAGACGCGGGGGTTGCTGGTGTCCTGGCCAGTGAGCTCCGAGTCCCGACTGCCAGAGATGCCATGATTTCCAACAAGCCTGTGAGACGCATTCGTGCTACGGCGTCACGTGCCTGGACTTTTTGGCGCCTAGATCCAGAGAGGATGTCCTTCGTGTCCTTTTCTGGCGAGGGAGGGGTTGGATCTACGGCCGGTCTGGGCGACGACCGAGGGCTGCCTGTGGGCCCCACCCAGGAAGCTTGGATGGTACTGACAGCAGACGAGTCTGCGATCGAGAACCAGGCGGTCTGGGCATCGATTCTCGGCTGGCGCAGCTGCAAGCTCAGACGCAAGGCGCCGCCAACCCTGGCTGGTGAAACACAGGCGCTGTCGGCAGCAGTGGCTGAAGTAGAGTGCCTTCAGGTGCTGTATCGTGATGTCGTGTTTCGAGATGTCGACCGTCCATATTGCGTCCGGACTATGAAGAAGGAGGGAAACGCCAGCGCCCGGGACCGACGTACTGCACTGGATCTGGCCATCATCTGTGGGTTTCTAGAACGAGTGAGAGGCCATGTGATATGGATTCCACATGGGCGCATGCCAGTCGACTGTCTCACTCAGGATGATATTTCAAAAGGGGAACGCTGCTCTATTCGATTCGATGATCAACGGTCGAACTGTTTTAATCGACCAGAGCTCAGAAGTAGACAGTCGACGAGTCACCCCAGATCTCAAGTGCAGATCCCAGGCCGCCTCTGGCCAAGTGCTGTCCCGGAACCAGCAGTTGATCACTTGGGGCGAGTTCTTGGACTCGAAGTGCTGGTCGGTGGTTGGTGGGGCTTCGGTCGGTTCTACCTCCTCCTCGTCTCTCCCTCCCTCCATTCCTGTCGTCAGTACCACCTTGTCTCACCCCTATCAATAGTCTCTTTCTTCATGGCCTGTGCCGTCCCTTTTCCTACATGTACTGTTTCGTTTAGGTAAAAATTGAAGGTCGCGGCAAGGGTGCCGTGGCGTAGATTTGCCAAATGTGAATGGGGACGCTGGCAGCAACAGGGCTGCTAAACCTATGATAAATCTTGACCTGTGTTGCAGGTCTCCTGTATTTTTGAAGATAGGGTTAGCGTTCACTATCCGAGCGAGTTGACCATGCTCGGTGACAATTTTGGCTCAAGGGTAAAACACATGTCTCTCCTGCTGCTGCCACACCACGAAGCGTTGTAAAGTCTGGCGCGGACGTATGCGAACGTCGCCTCTGGGGCTTCCAGTGGGGCTCCTTATGACTCCACGAAGCGGTGCATTGGGTTGGTTGAGACGCATGCTGCTGTGGCCACAGGGGCCTTCTGTGGAAGTGCTCAGGGGCCGCGGAGAGCTGTGCCGGGTGGGCGCGGTCATTGGGGCTTTCGGTGGGGCTCCCTGTGGGACCACGAACCGTGTGAGTAATGTGCCGTAGTGATTGACATGCGGAGGGCAGTGGGGGAGATGGGAGGTGGGAGGAGGTGGGACCCGGGAAGCTGTCTCTTCAAAACGAAGACCCAACACCGCAGGATGTTTTGGAATTGCAAGAACAAATCGCGGCGTAAACATAAGGTTTTGGAGTTCGCGCGGATCTTTTGGGTAGGCTCTTGGTCCCCGTGGAGGCTCCTCCAGTGTCGCCCCTGGCTCGCGTCGAGCGCCAGGGGTGGGGGTTCCAGCGCCGACCCACGATACCCGCGCGGACCTCGGAACGGTGTGCATTTCCGTTGACTTTGTTCCCTTTTACATCACAACCACCACCTGGCCAAAACCACTTTGGGCCCGCAGGGTAAGGTCTAGGCCCCCCATGGACTCGGCTGGGACGGTGTCTGCACCAAACCGCGACCCAGCATGGTTCAAGATCGATGCCCAGACCTCTCCTGGGGTTCCATCAAGGCCAGTTCTTCGAAGTGAGTCCAGCCGTGGCCACGAGGTACGCCCGAAAGGCCCAAGTGGGATCGACGCTCGACCCTCGATCCGCGGTTTTCGGTACACATCAGGGCACCTTGCAGGGGGGGACAGGCTCAGTGGGGGATGCACAGACCCCCACTCGCCCATGGATCTCCTGCAGGGGCCGCGTCCGCCCAGGAACGTGCGGTTTCGCTATCGGGGGCCCGTCGCCGACGTATCCGGGCTGCGTCACCGATTCCAGGTCGATCCCCCCCCACCAGTACTGCGGCTCCAGGTTACTTTACTAGTTGTGGTGCGCGCTTGTCTATGTGCGTACTCTCCCCCCCTGGCAGTTGAGCCCGGTCGTCCCCTTCGTGTGGGTACTGGTCGGGCGCTCGTGGGTGCGGTCCTCTGCGACCTGCAGCCGGAGCCCCGCGCGGCGGGGCCGGGCCGCACGTCGCGCGTCCCGCAGCACGCGGCTGCTACTCTTCGAGGCTCGAGGTTCGAGGTTCGAGGTTCGAGGGTGAGGACAGCACAACCCACTCCCACAACCAGCCAGGACCTCCACTCCCGACCCGGTGATCCAGGGGACTCCTGGCTGGGGGGGTGGGGTGGCTTTTTGGCTCCGAGAGCTCCAAAAGCCACCCCCACCCCCAGCCAGAAGTCCCACTCCCGACCCCGCGTTCCAGGGGGTCCTGGCGGGCGCTGGGGGTGTTTTTTGGCGGCGAACACTGAACACCCTCACCCTCGGCCAGGACCCCCTGGATGATCAGGTCGGGAGTGGGGGTCCTGGCTGGGTGGGTTGGTGTGTTGTTTTGTCCTCAGAGGGTGCTGGACGGTGTTCCGCATGTCCCAGAAGAAAATAAATGGCATAACCATGAACTTTTGGAGCTCTGCGAGGATCTCTTGGACGGGCGCTTGGGCCCTCTTGGCGGCGCCTCCGGCGCTGCTCCTGGCGCGTTCCGCGCTCCAGGGAGGGGGGTCCCGCGCCGATTCAAGACATCCGCGCGGACTTTATGTTAGTGCGTGCACGGGAAGGGAGTGACAGATTTGTTTGGGTGTCGCCTCCTTGTCTGAGCTCACTGAGTCGCGTATCCGCAGCCGCTCGGGCTCAAAGTCCAAAAGGCAGAGGTCCCCGCTCGATGGCCAACCCTCCCCCCCAGGCTGTCTCAGTTGCCTGGATCTCGGTCGCTCTCTGGTTGGCTGGCAGGCTCAGCGGCTGCAAGCCTGGCGCTGCCCGCTCCGAACCTCGCGGGCACCGACGTCTGGTCCGACCGCCGAGGAGCATCACGTGCGATTGCCAGTGCCTGGTGGTGGCTCCCCCTTCGCCGCCGCCGCCGCCTCCGAGTCCGTTGGCTGTCGCGGCCCGGCGCCCAGTCCCGCGAGTTCGGCGCCCCCTCGGTCTTCGACATCATCCGCTTGCTGGGGACGGAGTTCCCAGGTGCGGAGGAGCTGGCCGTGTGCGTCCTCCTTGCCGCTTTCGAGTCGTGTCTGTTGATCGTGCGTTGTTTTCGAACAGGTTTCCGTCGTGACCATGTCCTCTGTGTCATCCTCAATGGGGCCCGAGTGGCCGCCTGGGGACCCAGCTCCTCGCATTCTTCGACGCTGACCTGGGCTTCCCGCGTGAGCGTGTCGTGGCCTGTTCTTGCCACCTTGGATCGAGTATGTTGTATGCTCGCCTGGGGACCACCCGTATGTGGAGGAGGAGTCGGACTGTAAGAGGATCTACCGTATGTGTGGGGGCCAGGCCACCCGATCTTTGCGTGACGACGGCTCCCAGCCTGTGCAGTTTGAGCAGACGCCCTCGGATGCGGAGCTTCGCGCGCTGATCATGGACACGAAGGCCGAGATCCTCGATCTGCGCGGGGCCGACGCCTCGCGACCCGTGTCGCCTGACCCGACACACTATGACTCCGAGGATGGCCGTCTACATGTCCTGGGCGCGTGGCAAACACCCTCTGGCAGCGGTCGAGGCAGGCGGGGCCCCCTCTCGCACCAGCAAAACCAACCACCCCGGTAGCGCCTGCGCCCGCCGGTCCTCCTGAGCCGGCTGCTATTCCGCCGCCGCCCCCAGTGCTGGCGGGATCGCCGCCTGCGCCTCGCTCGCGTTGGGTGGTGAGCGAGGCGGGGCTGGACTGGGAGTTGAGGGCGCCGGCGCCCGATGGCAGCGTGATAAGCTTCCAGGGACCGCGGCGTCGCCGAGATCAACGACGAGTTGATACCCGTGCAGCTCATCCCAGGGACCAGGGTTGGCGGCTACCACCGCGTTCGAGCTGGCCACCCGCGGCTCGATGGCGCCCCCGCGAAATTATGGGCCCAGCTCGGCGTCGTCCCCACCTGGCACGAAGGCAAGGGCACTGGCACGCCACCTGCCGCCGAGCCGACCGCCCCCGATCCTGGAGATGTTCGTACCCTGTGGGTGGACACCGACGACTGGAACGTGCGGCACAACCGTGGCGGAGCGTCGTTCATGAGAGCCCGTCAAGCCCGATGTACAGCCTGACGAATTCTGAGCGCCATGGCGGTAATGCCAGGATGTGACTCGACATCCGGGCGCGGTCCAATAACGTCGGTGCTGGGGAATGTGTTTGTCATGCGTTTTCTGTCTTGGTCGAGGCCACCTACGTCGCAGGCGCCGGCGGTCAGGTGGACATGCCGTCGTGCGTGTCGTTCGAGATCATCGCCTGGGTGATCCAGAGTGTTGTCGACGCTTACCTTGGGTGACCCTCGTAGGCCCCAGTAGGCAAACGCGCGCCTGCACCCTGTGTTTGGCTCGGCCGCGGAAGTGGTGGCCCAAGAACTCGGGCGCTACGTGGCGAAAAAGGCGCAGGAGGAGGCCGAGGTTGAATATATGCGGTCGCGTGCCAGGACCCTCACGGTCGCGGCCGACGTTTTGGCCGCTGGTGGTCGACCTGGCGCCGGTGCAGGCGCTGGGGCAGGCGGCCCGGAAGGGCGGCCCAAGGAGCCCAAGGGGAACCCGAAGGGGGGCAAGGTCCCTGACGGGCCGCCGCTTCAATGACGAAGACAATCCCTGGCGGCGGGTCTTGCCCTCCCGGTGCCGCGCGCCTGTTAGTGCCTGCGCGCGGATCCGCAGAGATGTTCCCGCTGCCAGACGGCCCATCCAATGTTGCGGATTTCTGGGTCCATCGTCCTGGTCGTGCTCAGCGCCGGTTTTTCAGTGGCTGGCGACAGTGTGTGCGATCTTTCAGTTTGCTGGGGGGCTGCAAGCATTGCGAATTCGGACGTTCCCATCGGGCCGACGTTCGCTCATGCTCGTTCCAGCTTTAGCAGGAGGCGTTGACGCGTATCACCCTGGAGTTTCTCCCCCATAGTGGGCCACCTCTTGATCTCAATCCGAAGGAGGCCTTTTCGGGGCTACTTCGAGGCCGCGGGTCTTCGACGCGGAGACGGCCTGCGCAACCCTGGCGTCCCATCGACGTGGCGCGGTCTCTCTCTCTCTCTCTCTCTCTCTCTCTCCCCGACGATGTCACGACAGCCCCTTGTTAGCCCAGGCCGCCGCTGCTACGCCGCCTTCGTCGAGGATCCGATGCGAAGAGGGCTCGTCGGCCCCGGCGCCGCCCCGAAGATTTCGCGGGGGTATTCCTCGCGTGGAAGACAGATCGCCTGTCCACGAGGATGGCTTTCGACTGCCGTCGCTCTAACCCGCATTTTGTCAGCCCACCGGGTGCGTTGCCTCCGCAGAATGCATGGGTCGCATCGAGTGCGACGGGGGCCGGGGCGACGCCTCCGTGCCCACCTTCCTCGGCAACGCCAGCGTCGAGGTTTGCTTTCGCCGCGCCTTGTCCATCGGCGACCTGCCCAGGTGTTTCCGCCGCCCAGGCGGGATGGTGAGGGAGTTCGGCGTCGTCGGGCGGTCGGGCGACAGCTGCGCGGTGCGCTGGCGATCCCGATGGGCTGGGCGCGGTCTCGGCGTTTTGCCCAGGTCGCCAACCTAGCGATGGCGGAGACTGCCCCCGCTGTCGCGTCGAGCCCCGTGGCTGCCGATCGGGCCCCGCCGTCGCCTTCTCGGCGCGGTCGCCCCGGCGCCGCGCGCGCCCGGGCCCGGCCGACGCGCGCGGCGCCTACGCTGGAGCCGCGCGGGCCATCGATCGGAGCGGGCCGATGACGCGCGCCGCGGGGGGCGAGGGCGCGGTGGCATCGGGCGCGCGGCTCGGCGGGCAGGCTCGCCAGACCGCGGCCGCCTTCCATCGCTACTGGGAGGTGCGTCCGGGGCTCCGTCGGGCCCTGAGTCTGCCGCGACCTGCGGGCCGCAAGTTGGAGCTTCTGCTTGGGCGCCGTGCTTTTTCTCGGCCTGCTGGGCCGCGTGCGCTTCTCGCCTCTCGCCTCTGGGCTCGAGTGCCTCCTCGGCCCCGCGCAGCTGCTGCGTTCAGTGCGGGGCCTACCGTGGCTGCCGCGGGCGCTGTCCGCGGGCGCTGGCCCGCCCGGCCGGGGCGTTGCATCTTCCGTATTTGGGCCGGTCGAGGTAAGAGCCATAGGGGGTTTCTGAGGCGATCTCGTCTCCGTCGACTGGGGGGGGGGTACCTGTCCGCGCTGGCGCCCTCGCCGCTGCCAGCTTCCCGTGCTCGCGCGCCGCGGGCAGCTGGGTCGTCGGTGATGGGGGGGCGGGATATAGCGCCCCTTGAGGGGCGCGGCGTCTTTTTCATTTTTTAATTGGTCTGAGTCGGCCCATGAGTCTGGAACTTGGGGGGCGGCCCGGCATGGGGGAGCGCGGGGGCGCCGACGCGCGCGGCCTCCGTCGTCGTGGGGGTCTGCGATCGGAGATGGATTAATGTCCTCCATGGCTGCGGGCGTTCCGATTTCAAGCGCGCCTTCGTCGTCCGCCGAGTCGGGTTCGGCCGGGAAGCTTGGTCATGGACGTGGAACTCTGCGCCCGAGCGCGCCCCGGAGGTCGCCCCGGGGCGGCTCCCCTCGCGCCCCCCAGGGAATGAGCGGTCAGGGGGTCGGGCGAAACGCCCGATCCCACGGCGGTCGTATTTAAGGGCGCCCAGTAGAGCGCGCCTGGAGGCGCGCTTGCAGGCCGGCCTACGGACGCGCCTGCGGGAGGCGTTCGCGCGGGCGTTTCTCGGGCGCGCGCAGAGCGGGGAATCTCGGCGCCCGACGTGGCGGGCTGCGCCAGCGAGTTGCGCGCCTAAATCTGGGGGTCGCGCATCGAGCGCCAGTTGAGGCCGCTGGCAGCAGGGCGAGCGCTCGCTGCGAGAGCGAGTGCGCGGGCGATCCGCGCCCGCGCTCCTCGCGAGGGAATTTTGAATGGATGATCTGCTCTGCTTGAGGGGCGAGACGTCTGGGATGCGGGCCCCTGGGGAATGCGCGAGGACTTCCCCGAGGCCGCTGGGCTTCTTTTTCGCGGTGATCGGCGGCGCCTCATCTCTCGCGGTAGTTGGGCCATGTCGGAAGACGTTCTTATCC